CCGCATTGGATTCAGATGGGGGGAAGACAGGAATGACTGCTCGCATTAAATCTGCAGGTTGCATGAGTAATTCTCCTTCTGCTGTCCAAGAAGATGCAAAATACTCAAATACCTGCAATAAGAGATCTCATGAGAGACTGAAAGAAATGACTGCTCATAAGATAACTGCTGTGAGTAAATCAAGGCCATTAACTAAAGTAGATGTAAAAAAGAAACTGAGCTTGTACCAATCTATTTTAACTAATTATGAAACTCAAAAGAAAGGGGTTAAAGAAGATTGTTTCATAACACTTAAAAGGCAGAAAACTAACAATGAATATGAATCAAACCCAGCATCTCAGATAAAGGTGAACAAGTTATCTTTTCAACGACCATGAATAACAATATGCATCCTAACAACTTAGATCCTTTTCAACCGCAACCTACCAGCCAGTGTCCACCGAAGAAATTGCGTGAACTTAGACTGATTACAGGAGAGGATAAATGAACGCAGTGAGAAGAACAGAAAATGTAAACACTTTACCAATGTCTTCACTTTACCAATGTCTTATCCTCCCTCTGATCCAAAGGCAACTTGATAACAACTAACAAGTGAATTCAGCATGCTACTACATAGGCTAGGAGCTTAAGAGGAATAAACCTCGGTTGAAATAAAAAGACATCATAAGTCATAAACAAATCCTAAAAACTTCATAAACTTTGAGCTTCTTTCCAATTCAAATTCTTGAGGGCCAATTTTCTGACAAGGTCTGAGCATAATTGCAATCCTAATGAAAATAGGAGCTCATCATACCCTTCAAAATCCATTAGGACACCTAGAGAAGGCAATTCTTTTACCAATAACATCTTATAAACTCACAGTTGATTTCATTTGAATCAACAAAACAAAAAACCAATTCCGACGATTAGGCATATTAGAGGCAATTATTAGTTCATATATATTAGCAACAACTAAGAAACAAATACCTTTTCTGGAGGACTCCGCAGTCTTATCCGCTTCTCGTATTTAAAGAAAACTTTTCTCCTAAATGCATCTGCAATTACACATATCATATACATGCAAGATGTGATTTAATATCTTAATCACTAGAATGTGTGTGTGTATATATATAAGGATAAGAACAGGAACCTCCAAAGATGAACTTTGAGTTGTAATCAGGCAAAGAGAGCTTCTGAAATCCGGTCTTTGAACGGGAGTCATCATCACCGGTTGACTCAGCGACTGCCGAAGGGCTGTCACAGAAAGACAGAAGCCGCTTCTTGAAAAAACCTGTAGCAGAATCAGATTCAGAAATCGAAAACCAATATAACAAGCCCAAACTCGAACCAGCTGCGATCACCGAAATCCATCTCGTGTAGGAGCCAAAGACGGAGTCCTTCCGGCGACCTGCGTCGATATTCGATGCAGTAATCAGCTGCAGCGAGGAGGAGGACGACGACGACGACGTTTGCGAGAATTGTCGGTCGATCGCTGAGAGGCGGCGAATGGACGGCGAAAATCTGTGGCGGTAGGTCAACGAAAGCATGCCGAGATCTCGTTTAGAAAAACAGAAACTGTTAAATTTGTTTAGGGAGTTGGGTGGGGATAGACGAGAAGATTTGGATATACTAATAATAACTTAACAGTTACTACAGCATATCTTATCTGGCGACACTTTCAGGACACGTGTCCAGGACATCAAGAGTTAAGGTGAACAACTGAAAATTGGGTTCAGCCGAAATGGACTAAAACCCAAGAAATTAAGTAATGGACTCATGGTCATGGGCCATGTTTACCATTAGGTTCCATGGGAAATCGAAACTCACCGATTTCAATTTTTTTTAGTCCTTTATTTTATTTTTTATTAATCCTCGGTATCTAAAACTATATTAGTTTTAATCAACCTAAAATTGAGATATATTAGATCTCATAAGTAAAAAAAAATTTCTCAGCATTTATTTTTTATTTATAAAATTAAAACTCAACATATTATTTAAAAGGAATTGAAGTATTTTAACTAAAACCAACTAATTATTAGTTTTTTTTTTCCTCCTTTATGAATTCCGCTGTGTCTCAGCTCATCTTTATACAAATACTTACAAAATTTCTTATTTTGTAGTCTAGATAGGTATCATTTTTTTTTATATATCGAATGGTTAACCATATAGTATAGTAAAGATTTGAATCATTGGTTTTGACTCCAAATCAATGCTTTTTTACTTAGTGAGTGTAAACTTAAACAAACTTTTTTTTTTATATATATATATATTCAATTATAAGTTATACAAGAGGGAATGACCCTCCTTTATTTTCAAATCTCTTCCCACTCAACTCAAGACTTAAACTCAAGATTTTCAATTTAAAATTTTATGTTATTAACCATTAAGTTACCTCATTAATATTAAACAAACTTTTGTTGGTTCTAGATAAGTGTTATTAAATACAAAAATAGCTCCTAATATTATAGAGTCTATTCCATTTAATAGTAAATATTTTACAATCCTCTATCAAACTATATAGTATTTTTTGGATACATATATTTCATATTATAAAATCACTATGTATAATTATATGGCTTGAACTCCCAAAATAGACATATCACTAAAATACCAAATATGATTTTGTCCAAGATAGGTCTTTAGCTTCTAAAACCTCAAATATATAAAAAACGTGTTGAGAACTTGAGATGAGAAAACTTGATTCCTCTCAAGCCTAAAATTGAGAAAGCTATAAAATAAAAATAGATCTTTAATCTTTTAGGGAACTGATCAATGGTTCAAGTTGAAGTTGGAGAAACTTCAAAGGAAAATAACCATCTTTATTCCATAGCTTTTTTTTTCTTTTTTTTTTTCTCAAAACCCATCAAAATGAAAGTAAGAGACAAGTTGAATTATTTGCTTTTTCTTTCTTTTGCTTTACTAGATTTATTTTATTTGTTTTATCTTTTCTGATTTGATAGAAAACGTTTGTGAGTTTTTTTTTTAATATTAATTATATAATAAAAGATAATTATTTTTTATTATTTATTTTATTTCATTTACATATCATGTGACTCAAATTTAATATTTTTTATTTTTAACGATATAATATAATTATTAAATTACTTAAATAACTAACTTTATGTGTCCCATTTTAGTCTACTTATGATCTTATCCAATTGACATGACAATGGGCAATCCGCCAATCATGTCACGGGCAACTGGGCATTCTTTGCCTCCGACAGCACAGCCCCCATCTACGCGTTTATTGCGCTCCCACTCAGCACTCACACATGCATTGTTGTCATCATGCAATCTCCTTGTTTGTTACAGCCTCATAGACAGTAAATAGATTGAATTTTTTTGACGATTTATGACAGAGAAGCTGCTAACTGAAAAGCTCCTCTTTCTCCCTAGTCCTCAGCATGGCACCATTTTTTCCAAACTAAAAATAAAAAAATAATAATAAATTAAAAAAAAAACAAAGTAATAATAATAATAGTTTTTTTTTTACCAAGCCCCATGCTATTTGAAAGTTATAATTTAGAATTGAATTACATCATACTTGATAAATAAATAATTTGTTAGCGTTTATTTTTATTTATAAAACTTAAATTCAAAATTTTATTTTAAAAAATCAAATTTATTTTATTCAAACTAACAAATAGTTAAAAAATAAATAATATAATAGAGTATACATGTATAAAGAGAGTTTATTTTTATATGTGTGTAATATAATCTTAATTCCATATATTTATAAAAAAACGTAAATATAAACTTGTATTGTAAAATATTATGTGAAAAATATTATAAAACTACGTCATTTTAATAAAATTTTATTTAAAAATATTAAAATATCTTTATTGTTTTTAAAGTAAAGATGAAAATATTTTAATTTTTTATAATAATTTATTAAAATAATATAATTTTAAAAATTTTTTCCTTAACTTTTTACCAATATAATTGATAAATATTAATCTCATCTACAAGTCCAAATAATTTCCTTTAATTCTTTACATATCTTTAAAATTTTTTTAAAAATAATAGTTCATATCTTTTTATTCCTTTTCGGTGCAATACTTTTTTTATTTTTTATTTTTTGGGAGGATTATTAATTGTTTCCAGATATTAACAATTTAAGTGGGCCTTATAGTCAACACGGCCGACCGACTAAAAGAGAGGAAGGGCCCAACGCAACGCGACAACATTGTGATGACAATAAGAAAAGAATCGGGTGCGTTGATTTGATTCGCTAACACATATCTATCTTCAAAGTGTTGGGTTTCTTTCCTTCCGTTTCCTCCAATGCTTTTTCTCATCCCATGTGAGCCCACATGCTGACATGCGTTTTCCCCCAAGTAGACTTTCAACCTTCCTTAGTGTCTTCCAACACTATATGAAAAACAAATCACTGCGATTTAGACTTTTCAACTGTTCCATGCCTGAACCTTACCTTCCCCATTCCAACAATATACGCTATCACACAATTTGAACAATGTACAAGAAAGAAAAGCTTCAATATTAACCCATAATCTAGTTTTCATTCTCTCTCTTCCTTTTTCCTTCTATTTTTGCAAAATTCAATATCCATATTTTCTTTTGTCCCTTCCAAATTCTCACCCTTTCTGTAATCGCGGCCAGGCCAGCTGTCTCTGTCACACTGTCCCACTGTCCCGCTCCTTTTTTTCCGGTTAAAAATGAAAGAAAAAAAATAAATCAAAATTTCACATGCAAATGGCAATACACAACTCCTTTTTAAGGGAATTTCCTTTTTCTCTTTTATGATGGAAGTCATTCAGTCTTATCTCTTATGTCCCATGGCTCAAGTATATATGTGTATTTTTTTTTTTTTCCTTCACATTTCTGACCTTGATAATATATTTTCTATTTACTTTTATAATTTTTTTTTATCATTTTTCAAATTTCGTTTCTTTAATCTTCACAGTCCACATTTCCCAGTCAAGGTTTTTAAAAATTTCGTCACACGCACCAAGTGGTCCAAGTCCTTTCCAAATTGCGCCAAGTTCTTATTTCAATATTCCAAGTATCCCAAAAATTTAATCCGGAGGGTACCTAGCACCCGAGAGCCTCATTCATACCTAATAATAACTGCAAAAGATAAAAATAAAATAAAATAATAGATAAAATAAAAATAAAGAAAATTGAAAAAAGAATTACAGAAAGTACCTTGGAGACAAAAAACGCGAGTCAGACGAGACCAACGTGACGGTACGGCCAACGGAACGTAAGACGAGTCGACGGCAAAGAGTTACGGCCAACGGGACCGGCCACACATAACGTAGATGTCAACGGCGTACATGATATTTCTGGATGGACTGAACACAACACTCATAACTCATATCATCCAAATGCCTAACCAGTCTCCAGGCAAATTTTATGTCGAGTTTAATGCCTAATTAATCAGGATTTTAAGGGGAATTGGATGTCATTTTTAATGTTATTAATGGATTTTAAAGTCCGAAAAACTCCTTCCATAGCTAATGAGATGTACAAATCAATTTCTCTTCCAGATCCCTATGATTTTCGAGATCTCCGAATACAAAACTCGCCCGGGCTGACTCAGACCTGCCACGGTTCACGAACTCGCTCAACGCGACTCTGCTCCACCTCAGATTCGACCAAATCGAAGGGGCAAAGCATATAGAAGAATGAGTCGACTCACCGAGTCAACTCGCACAAGTAGAATCAGCTCCTCGCGCTTGTATCTGAGATCAGAATTAAGAAAGCAAAAAACAACCTGCAAAAACACAATCAGATTAAAGATCATCCGCTTTGGCCATTACAGAGAGCCTGCTGGGCCTCGGCTGGAACGCTGCTCTCCTCCTCTGTTGATGCGAAGACGGCCGAATCAGTGCCGTCAGCGCTCGCTTCACCCACTCTCCTTCAACACCTCCGATTCGCACCAAGGAATTCGTCATCGCCGATCGCCTCATGTTCAATCGATTCGATGGAAACGAACCAGAACCGCTACCGTGGTGGTTCCCGCTATTTTTGTGCAGACTGCAGCGAAACGACCCTGGATGCGTCGTTGGGGAGCACATACATGTCTTCTTTGGGGCCGAGATCGAGTTATTCCTCCGCTTCGAAACAGTTATGGACCGATTCGGAGAGACAGATCTGTTATTGATAGAGAAACTAAAGGAAGGCGTAAGAGGAGACGTATACAGATTGACACGAGTGGGGGAAGAAGATCGATGATGTGGCTGGTGATGAGCAAAGAATGTCGACGGCGGAGAATAGAAGCTGGCGCTTGTCGAAGAAGCAAACGAAGCTGACGAGGCTCCATTAGTCTGCGCAGTCTGGAACCTTGCCGACGGCGAGATGGATCTCAGCACCGATCCGCTACACCTTCTTCTTGATGCAGTAGACATTTTTCCGTTGAGTAAAGATAAAAAAGAAAAAAAGAAAGAAAAAGTGGAATGATTTTTTTTTTTTTTTCTCCAAATAGCCCTGGAGGCTGGATGTTTTCGCAAACCTAACGAGTCTCAAAGGTAAAATTTATAGATGGGAAGACGTGAGGGTAGCGTCGTAATTAAAAAAGGGTTGCGGGGCTGTTTCGTGAAATCACACTCAACACGAACACAACCGTAGTTAATTAATTGACCTGAGGTTGGGTTGATTAATTAAGAGGTAAGGAGATGACAGTTTGAATAAATTAATGATATAAAAATAATATTTTTATACAACATATATTTTTTGTATTACTAAATAAAAATATATAATATTATAATTTTTTATTAAGTGAATAATAATAATTATTATATGAAA